AATTATTCCATTGATGTGTTCAAAGTCTCACACCTTCAACCATAAGGTAATCCTCAGGTAGAAGGCATTCATAAGTCATAAATTCAAAGCAACAAAATACTAACTGTAAACGTTTCCCATAAAAGCATTGAAGCTAAGTTCATGAACCTGTCCAACTTACAACAAAAGAGGTGTTCAAGTTCCAGGATAAAGGGGTGTCCAAGATATACGGTGTTGTGGACATGTAAAATTATAGGATATTCGCCGGTTCCAATTAAAAGTGTCCAATATAGAGGGGTGTCCAGTCATAAGACAAAACTGCATGTCTGTTCAGACCATAAATCTGCTTTCCATTAACACTGAATGGCAATTTTATTTTCTTCATACCACACAATACATACCTCAATGCCACCTCCCGAGGTGCCAACATCAGACTTTCTGCTGCGACGTAGACGGTACCTCAAACCCGTCTCAGACTTACGTCTGTCCCGTTCATGCTTCCTCTTCTCTAGGTATTCTGGTGCAGAATGCTGACGTTTTGGAGTTGACTTGTCAGCCATTATCTCATCTGGAAAACATCATTTTTGAAAGGTATCATTATTAGGGTATTAAACTCTTTGGCTATGTCAACGTCAAGATATCTGCCTGTGTGTATGAGCATTGTGTAACAGGTACAACACATCTCTTAAAACCTCGTTTAACTCATCGTGATTCTCAAGTACACATTTTTCACAAATAAGATTCCAGCAGTTAGTATATATATCTGATGAGAGAAAATGCTTACTCAAATTCAAGTTATGTTAATTAATTCTATTTTTAAACCTTGCGTTTAAATTAATTTTGGCATGATGACAGCCACGAATAACCAATGCAATGAAGCAAATCTTATAAACTCGTTTATTACTTAATCAATGAATTAATAACAGAAGAACAAATGGTGTTTCTGGCATTATAACCACTTATTTCATATCACTAATGTCATTGAAAGTCCCGTGCCGTAGCCACGCGGTCTGAGGCATCATGCTTCGGACTGGCGATACGGAATATGCGCTAGTTCGAGTCTCGGGGGAGAAGAAATTTTCTCATGAGCTTTCGACTGGTGTATGGGACCGGTGCCAACCCAGCATCGTGAGGAAATTGGGGAGCTACAATGAGTAGCGTAATCCGGTCAGGAAAACTAGCAATGGCTGGGGGTTCGTTGTGCTGACCACACGTCACCCTATATTTGGTTGGCTGCTTAGGCATGAGAACGTGAGGCCAGCAGTCAAGCTAGTCGGCTTTGGCTCTCAGAGGGCTGTTACGCCACGGATTTAATTTTAATGTCATTGAAAGAATGAGACATTTAACAGCCAGTATAAAAGTCACTGCATTTCAACAGAAGATTGAAAATATTTGAGATTGTGTTGCTTAAACAGAGGTTAAATTTTATGAAATATTTGACTAAATAACTATTATCACTGATATCTTAGTACAAATTATGATAAGTACAGTTTTACAAAAGTTCATTATAGTTTGTTAAATTGCAGGTTTGAATGGTTAGGGTACCTGACCTGTGTTATACAGCATATTCAGTACGCACCATCTGTACGATTCTGTCCCAGTTCCATAACAAGCTGTCGAGCATGTGAAGGGATCACTGCATTGTAATTCTCCAGGATTACACGTTTCAGCTGCAAAGTCCATTCCCGTTTCTGTTCCAGGTTACGTGCCTGGAAAATAAAATAAACAATTAACTAATCAAGACTTGAGGTTCTCACAGCGGTGAGTATGAATATTTCCATCTTCTGGGTTGTTGCGCTGTGTAGTCTGGTCGACAGACCAGACCAGACTACACAGCGCAACAACCCAGAAGACAGAAATCTTCAATTAACTAATCAACTGCCTGGATGGATAAATAAAGACTAACAGCAAGCATACAGTACATAAGAAACTTATAATTGCTCAGCTAGTCAGTAAATTTCCTGCCTTTTATGAACCCTGAACATTCATTACAATGCAAACAAGAAACCACCTTAAGTCTGTACCCTGAGCTAGATCAATCTAATACACACCCTAATCCTATTTCTTTAAGATTAATTTTAATATTATCCTCCCATCTATGCCTAATTAATAGACTTGCGAGTCTGGCTCGGCGAGCTTGACTCGTGAGCCCGGCTCGGATATTGTTCACGACACACGCATAGCAGACTCGGCTCGTGACACCCCACCCACAAACGAGTTTGGCTCAATGGAACCGAAGCCAAGCCAGACTCGTACTTGGATGGGCCGCTTAAGAAAAAAAGAGTACTGGCTAAGGTTAGCAAGGCTGTGAAAGCTACAGCCACTATGTAAATAAGTGAAAGTCACAACTAAATCACTTTGTCATCAGTAGTTCATGATGCATTTCTCACCTGCAGTGTATACTGCAGCCTTGGGTTGTCAAATGGGATAACATGGAAACTCAATGGCTCTCCAGGAACACTCTCAATTAGCATCAGATTTGAGCACTGAAATTAAATGCAAAAGGCATATTTAGGTTATTTTTCAAACAGGCAGCATACAGTGACCACAAAAGAAAAAGATCTCTTAGTCTAAGATACTGTTTCCAGAAAGACAGTCTGACTGAATGTTTCTCTGCAACCTTGTGCACAGAATTTAAAAAATATATCTAATGAAAAATTTCAATCCAACTTATAGAGATAGTTAGATATTACGATAACTGATAACAAAAGCCTTTACACACTTTTTTACTTTCAAGTGTATAGTATAGAGAAAGAATTGTGACCATATGAAGAAATCCTAAATTGTGACAAAAATTAAAGTCCTGAATGGATGGTGATGACATAGAGGAGGCCCACACCAGATTCAGTGTACTTCCTTGATGACAACTGAGCTTTGGGCAAATTATAGCATTTATTAAAATGCTGTCTGTGTTTACACCTCGAGGTATGTCTATAAATTCAGATGTGTGAATAATTAATAATTGCTGAATTACGGAACTTTTCTTCTGAAACTCTCTGGTCAGTTTCCTTGAAGCCTGCACAAGGAGGATATTAAACAGATTTAATATTCTCACTTCAGAGGTTGATGAAAGAAGTGTCTGCAATATTCAAACACATTTTTCAATAACATATGATATTTTGTGACAGTAATCTTCCTGCAGTTTCCATAGTAATGATTTCAATCAGAAGTTCCCAAAGTGTGTGTGTGTGTGGGGGGGGGTGTTTTTTGTATCAAAATCTTTTTTTAACGAAATATGGAGAAACATTTTTAACATCCTTCGCTTGATTGAGACAGTTCAGCAGTGGCAGCCATCAAAATAAAGTATCGTTCTACAATGAACCTGCAAAACGACCTTAGAGCGGCCATTTCAAAACTCCAACCTCGGTATGATAAGTTATGTTCACAGAAGCAACCACATCCATCCCACTAATCCAGGTATGAAGCGTATATTTTATTACAATTTTTTAAATTAAATACATTGAATAATATATACTAAATTATAAAAAAATGTATACTCATAGCTGAATTTTTGTCAAATCTGTTTGCTTGCACTTGTTCTAGAAGGGGGACGTGAAATTTATTAAATGTTTTAAGGGGGACGCAAGGCATAAAAGTTTGTGAACCTCTGATTTCAATTTTAATTTCTGAGGTCAATTAATACAGTGTCTCCAACTTACAAATGGGTTGCATTCCAAAACAGCATATTTATTTCCTGCGTGACCATTTATGTAACAGTTTGTACCTTCAAAGCTGCAGTGTCATTAAAATGCTGTTGTGTCTGTTCTGAACTGCTCACATAATCATAACAGCAAAATGAACGTTACATTTTATAAGAACCTGAGCACGACATGACTCACCATGATGTGAGTTTTATAGCCAAGAATCCCCTCTTCCTTCTTCTTGGTTATGAGAAGCATGCGGTCAAACAGGAAGGCGTGTCGGAGGGCTTTGGCTCCGTACATTCGGAAAGCTCCCTCTGCACAGAGTTCTCCAAATGTGGTCAGGTCCTCGCCCTCCCAACCATACAGGAGACTCTGAATCTCTTGCACACGAACTGCATGCTCGTGTCTTCTCTTCATGTTATTGATGTGATGAGCAATGCCTGTCATGGCTGACAAAGCGTCCACAATATCCTTGTAACCCTCACCTTCGTACACATAGTGTTTAACTATGTTCTGCAAACACACAGTTCATTGTCTGAGATTTTAGTTCCCACTGTCATGAAGATGTCAGTGTTGCAGGTAGTAACATCAAGTGGATATATGGATAGATACAAATGTTTAAAGGAAATATGTCTCTGCATTCAGGGCTCAGTTATATCCATCTACAAGCCCAAATAGCATCACAACCAAGAAAATCATTGACAAAAGTTCAAGACTTCTAACTACTCACCTGTGACATTCAGTGATTTTCTAACTAAATGACAGACTGATTAACGAAGTAATAAACCAACCCACCGCGCAGTATATTCTTTCCTAGGCACTTGGTAATTAATCAGGCAGTCAAAAAATTACCTTCTTTTTGAAACTTAAAAGGTTCGAACAACTTGTCATGGAAGCCCGCCTGTCATGGGACCTTATACTAATCAAGTCAAATCCAGTAAACATTTTCATGCTCTGTTTCTCCAAGTTAAATTTTATCTTCCAAAAGTATTCTCTTCCTCTGGGTTCTTATTACACATTTCTTTGTCTTAATTTGTGTTAAATTGATATTCACGTAATCATTTTTGAAGGGCCAAAACCTCAGCACTACAAATTTAGTTATATAATAAAATGAATGCTCTGGTGTTTTTAATAAGCATACACATCTGATAACACCGCCATTAAGAGCTGGAAGGGTTCCAAGGATAAGAAAATTTGAGAGGACTTCTTTATCACAACAATCAATATTTGTAAACCATCCAAAATTAGGCCTGTTCCTACAATTTTAAGTTCAGCATTCAGAAGTATTTACATAAATCAGTACGAAGTCCGCACCTGAAGCAAGAGATGGTATTTGAGGATTCTCTGCACGGGTTTCAGAAGGTAAGATCCGAGCGGCAGGGTATGCTGTAACGCTGTTTGCCTCTCTCGGAACAACCGGACCGTCGCCTCCTGCCTCATGAGCTCTGTGAGTACCGACACAGTCCTGCAACAAGATTATAGCACAAAAACAGCTCCAAGATCATCATCGACACCACCGTCATTAACCTCAATGATAAAGTCCAAAAGTCAATCAATATATCGTTCTTTCAAAATATCTGGTTATTCCTGTGTGGATAATTTCCCCAGCACAAGTAAATCAACTGTCACTGGCTATTGTTTTATTGATTTTATTTATTGATGGCTGCAATTCAATACAGTTTAACTGGATTAATAAACATACGTCGCTGTGACTATGTAAGAGCCCGCACAGGTTAAATCATGTTGTAACCTGCTCACGGCAGTCTACGAGTTCCTCCGATGCATGTTACATGTTCATTTAACAAAGAAATTGCACTCACCTTGGGTAATTGGTGCAGTACTGCGTGTAGATGGAAAAACCTGTATTGTTCCTCACGAAGGATTGTGCCACAGGAACCGGATCCAGTCCGCACTGCTCCAGCTCACCAAGAAACTCGCTGAAACAGAACCATAACAATAATCGTTATCTAAAGATGTGCTTCTATGGTTCATTAACTACACTGCAGTTACTTAGACATTAATTCTTCTTCTTCTTCTCCTTCTTCTATGGCTCTCCGGTCCGTGTTCGGTCCACGGCCTCCTCAATTCTCCTCTTCCATCCAGTCCTCTGTTAGGTCCGTCAATGATTGAGGGTACCTGTCTTAGTCTGACCTCTCCCCTTCGACCAATCTGACTAGGGAGGCCCTACCAGTAGCTATGCTACAGCCAGCATAGCTCTTGGGGTCACAGAGGTACTCGAGCCCCACCACCACGACAAGGTAGACATTAATTACTAAGTCATATTTGATAAACACAATTTTTTATGAGCTGACTAACAAATTTCTTGAAAATCTGTTCAGAAGTTCTGAATTTTATATGCAGACAGGCAGAGCAAAGAAAACAAGGCATGGCTTCAAAATATTTAGTTGTGTGAACACACCCAAAAAAATTTAAATTATAGAAAATTAAATTCTAATTGTTGTAAGCAAATATATAAAATACAACCTAAATTGTAAAATTTTATATTAATTTATACACTGAAAAGTGACCCTACAATCATAATATAACTTATTAATTTTTTATTATTTAAAAAAGCAAAACCAAAATAAGGATTCAGTTACAGACGATGTAACTCCTATTTCAGAAACATTCTCAGACAGTACAAAATACAAAAATAGCATAGACGAATTTCCATTTGGACATTCTATCTAACTTTCAGTTTGTATTTTCCTTCTGTGAGTTTTGCTACTTGACACAGCACAAGAGTAATTCACCTGTTGAACTTGTAGATGTCTTCAATATTGTTGAATAAATCAGTAAGCTGCTTGTCAGAGAGTGGGCAGTTGGGAGTTTCTCGCCAAACCTCCAAGTAGCCCTGGAACAATAACACGAGGACCAGTCATAAGTAGAAAATATCACAAATAAGTAATTGGTCGAGATTGCTTAAGCAGCGTTTGAGAGGAATTAACAGTATTCACATACACAGTTTCCATAGTATTTCGTAAAATGGTTAATTATTTTTCTTGAAAGCTGGCAGCCTGTTGGCAAGTCTGTCCAAACCATCAAATCAGTTATAACATTTTAAAATTAAAATGTCATTAAAGTAAAATTGTCCTGTTACACGCCATGGAAGCGCTTCAGGGGAGAGTTGGTATAGCTCCTACTCGCATTTTTGACCACAGCACTAGATCGGGTTGAGTGTCATGCCCCAGCTGTGCTTTTCCCCCGGTATCCACTGAGGTGAACCATGAAGACTATTTCAATGTAAGAAAAATGACATCGAAATTCATTCTTTCCCATACGATAAGTAATGTAACAGTAATAAGTGAAGCCAGTAATTCAGTTCTTTTGTTCATTAACATTTCTTGACATGACAAGTTAGGCTTCAAACATGCACTCGGACATACTTGGTTCGAATCTCAGTTGTGTGTTTCGTACTGTTGCTGACCAGATCAAACAAAAACGAACACGTAACAAAGAAATTCTCGAATATCCTGTTATTTCGTTTTCTTCAAAGAGATTAATTCTTAAAACAACTGTCATGGCGTAACCCCGTCATGGTACACACACACAATTTACTAAAAACTCAACGTGTTCACTTTCTTTTGAATGATAATATACTCAGATCATGCATCGCCTGTGCTCTGCGTATCGCCTTGTATGGACTCAAGTTTGCTGTCATTAGCATATTCCACTTCCAGATAATATAAACGTGCACTTCGACATGGTCTCAGCTTGTGCACGTGGCTCTCAACAATAGAACTACTTATCCGCTTATCGACAGTCGCAACATTCCAGTGAAGACTGGCGCCGAAACATCATTGCTCGGCTGTTCGCACATTGCACCAAAATGATTACTTGAATATCGGAATGGATAAATACAGTGTTAATTACACGGCACACAAGGTAACTGTGCTTAAATAAAAAACCAAACATTCCGAAGGTCGGAAAAGTTCGTCTTTCAGACTGTACTCATACATACGGATAGCCAGGTGTTCATGGCATATAAGCATTCTTATTTTTAATATGCGTTTATTTCTGGATATTTTACAATACAAATTTATAAAGACGATGTGACATATTTATAAGTGACCGGAAGATAAACAACAAAAAATAAACATCCTAGTGACATCTTCATAAAACGATTATATAAGAAACGTAAATGTATACATCACAAGCGAAATAATTAATTCAGTAGCTTTTTATTTTAATGAATTATCAATAAATATTTACAGAAATTATACAATCTGGTATCACCTCTTAACCTTTATTATCATGGGCGGGAGCTTGTCATGGCCGTAACCTCCAAGTCAATTAAGAACTATCCTGTAATAAACTGATAAACATTTCAACCATATAAACTTTTCAGAAATAAAGAAAGTTCTGGACTACTTCCGACACTAACACGCGGAAGTTTCTAATATTACTTAATTTTCAGCATCATGTTTATCTAAATGTTTACAGATTAGTTCAGCCTTCAACGAAAACACAATTCGTTTCCATCTTGAAGACCAACTGTCTAATGCTGTTTATTACAAATAGCGAACCAATCCCGAAACGAACCAAAATGGCGATTTGTATTTCCCGATAACTTTTACAGTTATTCAACCAAACAATAAATTACACAGCGTACTTTCACAGAACCGAAAATCTCATCACGTTGCCCATTAAATCCCGTTAATTAGACCGAATCTTGAGCTATTTCGATACAGTTTACTCGTTTATCTTCCACGTGGTCTAGTCTTTAGGTTTTACATGTATTTCTCATATATCCTACGCGTTCTACATGCCCACCCATATTTTAGTTAGTCGGTTAATGGTGTAAATTACTTCGTTCCTCGATATAAGCCTCTAATCTTCTGGATTATTCTGTTGTTCTGTTCTTTCACCCCTCTGGGGTCCAAATGAAGTAACACCATTTTGTTTCTGGTCTTATTTAAACAAAGGGTTTGCAAGAACAGAACAAATGCAAACTCCAGCGTGCGAAAGGCCCAACACATACACAAAGAACCACCGCACACGTGTTTTTGTGACGTCACCTGCTTTCTGCTAGCATGCACGTGCGATCTATCACTCATTGAAGGGCAGGGCCGAAGAATATTGCAACTCTTAGCGTGCATCCATCTGTAGGAACTACGCCGCAGATAAACATTTCTAATTAAATCCCATTCTCTAATGTGTGATTCAAGACACAGCGACCAAATAGATTTTAGCAATAAGTGGAAAACGTTGAATACAATCTAACACAAGATAAAATTCCGAATACGGGTTTAGGCTATATTTATTCTGATAATAATAAATACATCCAACAACATTTCATACAGATGCTGAGACCCCAAAAGAAATTAGTGTTTCATGTCTGTATAGTACATTTTCTTTATACTGTGCGTTGCTACCTGCATAAAAAACGCACCTATTTGTGATAAGGCATGTACACTGCCAGCTCTTTTAGGTTTGTGCGTATCAAAGACATAAAAATTGACAGAATTTACTTTCATTCCTTCATACACTCAACCAGATTTATCTCTGAAATCTCAGAAATATTTACAGCTTGGCTTCGCTGAACCTGTGACATAATTACGCCATATTTAGCAAAACGTCTCACAGGTGAGCCTGGTACACAGATATTTCTATAGAAGTACACACATGCACAATTCCTGTGCACCACCTACGGTGTATGTGCGCACAGGGACTTTTAAATCACTTCCCACTTCTAACATTTGTTCTTACAGGTGCACAAAAACGTCTGTACTACCGATGGTTACTTCTCAGTTGTAATAGAGACCTAAGGATCGCGTCCAAGATAGACATTGGACATGTAAAATACGAAACTATCATTATTCAACTTCCTTCCATCTGATATCCGCATCCGCTGACACCGTAATTAAGATAAACCCATTACAATTTTACTTGGATGACAGCGCGATAACAAAGGTCAGACATTCGAACTGGACCACGCTCAAACAGTAGGACTATGTCTCTGAACGAGAAGTCTTCTTTGAAAAAAGTGGTTTTGCTGTCTTAACTAAATCCAAGCGGAAATGAAAACCCGCACAACACATTCAAGGGCAAAATTCCAACTACCCGAACTGAAACCTCATTCGCTACGTCGAAGCTTTATACATAAATGTTGCTGTTATTTAACTCTTAACCACTCAAAATTATGAAAATGACATTTTAAACAAAGTCGCTCGTATGTGAAGCTGGCTAGGTCGTCACACAAAATCATAGAATTAACAACATAATATTGAAACATTTCCTAAAAAAAATAAAAGATTAGGTTAAATTTCATATGAACAACTGCGAATTCAGGTCATTCTATTTCTTCTACAAGTGTAATTTATCAAAGTCACTCGCTTTTAATTTCGGTTCTAAGCTCAAAGGCAGAGAGAATCTATTTACACTTTCATACATCTATGAAATATGTGGTTATGAAATGTGTCGGATCGAATTACAGAACTAGTTAAGTGCTGAAGGACATAAGAACATACATAATAAATCACAGGAATGAGATACTGCCGACCAAAGCAGCTATACATAAATCCATTCATCGCTTGCAGGTCGAACAACTGAGTTCGTCCATCCATCACAAGACGTACTTGCAAAATGCAGCAGTTAGCTATGGGCGACATCCATAAACAGGACCACCGGGAAGAAAGGAGGCCCTTTTAATAGGAGGCAACTGACCGTTAGGCACGTGGCCCTGATAAGCAACTTTAACCCTCCGAGAGCCACATTTATACATATAGCATTCCACTATAACAGCTTTACTTTGTTTGAACCTCAAAGCACTTGGATCCAGACAAATGTTGGGCTGAATTCGACTGGCTTATTCACATTCCCTTCCACCATGAATAATTTACACACTTGTCTTTTAAAACGATTGATATTGTCAGGCTGAACCCGATGATTGAGCAGACAGCAGTTAACGACTGTCTGCTTGGGCCCGATATCGTGCCGGTAGGATTGCCCGCTCGGATCAACGATTTGTGGGAAGACAAACACCTCGGTTGTCGGGTTCAGGCCCGCGATGGATAGTGCTGCAATAACCACGATTGTCAGGCACAGCCCCGACGCTGGATAGAAGTTCGTATAGTGATTATCGGGCTAAGACCAGTCGGAAGGCCTATTAGTTTTTGGGAGGGAAATAAAATTAATCTTAAAGAAATGCGATGCAGTGTTGACTAAATTCAACGAGCAAAGAAAGAGTCCACTGGTGAGTACTTATGAACACAATAATAAACCATCTGGATCAATAAAAGACGGAGAATCAGACTATTTGATTAGCAAGAATCCTAATAACTGAATATCATTCTTTCGTCTGGCGTTTATTACACATGCAACAGACAAAGCGTCATGAAAGCAGAATAGTCCTCCTGTCCTTTAATAACACAAGTCTGATTAAAAACTACTCCCCTACAAACCCTTTGAACACAAAATTACATGCAATAAATACTGTTACATAATGTGAATACGACAGAAGAAAATGTTGCAGCATATTTTAAACATCTGACTTTCATGTTAAGTTACATTTATGATCAGTGGAATACACGCGTTTTTCAGTAACCATAAACCGTAACTGCGTGATGTTGATTTACTGCAAACTGCATATAAAGCGACACTAAACCCTCTGTGTAGCGTTCGTTCATCTAAGGACGACGACACGTCTGAAAAGGATAACGTTCGTGTTTTCGCTCTGTAAAACGATACGAAGTTGTTCTGTACAACCAACACGAGAAGCCAGCACTTTCATCAGGACTTTGGATCTGCTCAGATGTTGGGGGCAGTGTGGGACGCAAACCGGAGCGTGGGGTGCGACCAATGAACAGCCTGGGCGTAGCACTGCGGGCACTGGACGCTGCAGGGGTGTACAAA